ATTTTTAATGTAAAAATTAGAAATATGAAATAATAAGTGTCTAATTTAATTGTGTAAAATGATTAACAATATTTTATTATTGAAAAATATTTTACTCTTTTTTATGTTATTATTTATATGTATAATTTAAACATGATGTTTATTATATATTCAATCATATGTGTTATGTTATTATAATATATAATAAGTGATAAAATATAAATGAAAATGATATGAATATATAACATAGATAGAATATAAAACAAAAGAATAATAAGAATAAATGATAAATAAAAGGAGAAATGATAATCAATGATATAATAATAAATAAAAAGTATAAAAGATAAAATTAATATTAATATAAATCAAAAGAGAATAAATATAAAATGAAAATAGATATAAATGATAAGAATATAAAAATGATAAAGATGAATATTCAAATAATAAAATACATTTAAATATAAAAGAATAACAATAAGAAAATCTAAAGAATATAAACATAAAAAACATAAAATAAGAAGAATATAATAATATAATAATATATAGATAAACAGATGATATAAATAATATAAACAGAGAAATAAATATATAAAAATACGATAGATAAATAACATATAAATAAAAGAATATGAATAATAAAAATAATTATGAATAATCAAATAATCTATTTCATTAATATTTCATACAAAATGAATAGAAATGATTATAAAATATAAACATAAATATTTATATATTCTGTATTTATCATACTTTTTATTTTTTTATTTGTTAGGAGCAAAATATAATAAAGTGGAAAATTCTATGGATGCAAATTTTTTTGCATCTTTTTTCTTTTTTGTAAATTATTTAGATGCATTTTTTCTTTGCTAATTTTCGTACCCATTCCTTCTTTAGCAGCTAAAGATTGTAATTTACATCCCAATTGGTTACTACTGATTTTCAATGATTCATTATTCATGTTAATTCTTCTGTGAATCTTTTCTTTTAATATGGAGGTAAATACTTTCATAATTACATTTGTACAACTGATAGGATGATAATTAGTGATGTCGTTCCTATCAATTTGTGGATTAATAAAGTTCTTCCACTTACCATGTCTAATGGGATGTTTTCAGGGAAGTTCAACCATTCATTGAAGATATTGAGAATGATTTCTCTTGATGATGACATCCTTTTCCAATAATACCATATATAATGTCTATTCCTGATGCTTTCCAGTTACTTATTTTCATTATACTTAAATTTAATTCATTTATTGTTATTATGACACTATCATAATTTCTGTAGCTTTCATTCCATGAGGTGATTTGTTTTATTTTCCAATTCTCTTTATTTAAGATCACCTGTGTTTCATATAACGATTTCCAATATTCTAAAGTAATATCGTTATTTGGGTATATTTCATTCTTTGTTTCTTCCTTATTTTAATTTTCTTATTAGAATCAAACATGATTTTATTTGTATTGATTCTGATTATTTCATTTTTATTAAATTTAATTCTTTCTTTTATCATTGTCATCATATATTTTATGTATTTTATTCTTTCTAGTGTTTTGACTTTTATTTCCTTCTTCATCATATTCTTTTAATTTCATGATGCACTTGATTCTGTACCATTTCCTTCCCTTGACCAAATCTTCTAGTCTATTTATTTTCTTTAGGATTTCTTTTATTTCATCAAATTTATCTCTTATTATTTTATTTTGGAGATAAAGGTGCATAACCATTGAAATCTTCTTCATATCATCTTGCAGATCCTGCATTCTGCTTCCTGACATTATCCATCTATTATTAATTTCCATTATTAATCGGTCAGCTTCTTTTCTTTGAAAGTAGTAATTAATGTTTGAACATTTTTCTACTTTCATTTCTTTTATTTTATTGATGAGAGTGTTAAGGTATTCTTCATCAATTTCTGTAGAGTTATTCTTTATTATGATGTTTTTTATTATTGAATCACACTCTACTCTTCCTTCCATTATATCATTTATTTTCACTTTAATGTATTGTTTAGTGGTTTCTTTTATTTTATGTGACATTTTAATATATTTAATATATTCATTTTCATTATTGACATTGATATTTATCACTTTTATTATACTTTCAATTTGTTCATTTCTTAATTTCTTATATAATTTCTTATTCAACCAATCAATTCAAAACAATACATCACTTCAATTAAAAATTTATTTCTTTGTTTTGTTGTATTTCTTCTTGTATTTCTTTGTATTTTGTTTGTTATTTCTTATTCTTGTAATTTTACATCTATCATTCATTTCTTTATTTGTGTTTTGTTTTTAATTTCTTCATTTGTTTTAATGTCTTTTTCTTCATTGTCTTTTGTTTTTTCTTTAATTTCTTCTTTGATTCTTTCATTTATCTTTTTCTTTTTGATTGAATATACTTCTTGAAGAATATCATTCCATCTTTTTCTTTTACCTTCTTACTTCTTGAGTATTTCTGAATATTCTCCTTTATTCCATTTACTTGTTATTCTTTTTATTATTTCTTGTTTATCATTTATTGTTAATCATTTGTATTTGTTATTTGTATATTCTTTATTATTATTGTATTTATCTTGTTTCTTATTTGTTTTTATTTGTGTCTTTCTTCTTCTAATCTCATTTTCCTTTGTATTTCGTTTCACATTGTTATGTCATTTATTTTTATACCATTTATTGCTATTGACATTTCTTTTTTATTGTATGACATTAGATTTTTTTGACTTTTTTGCATTTCTTTTCAATACCCAAAGGTTTTATTATTACACAATAGCCATGGCATTAAAATTTGTTGTATTTCCTGAATTTGAAAAGAATTTTTTAAATTAACAAATATTTAAATAAAAGAAAGAACTCATAAAAGTCATTTGTATGGAATGACAGAAAAAGAGTCTATTTCTCAAATAAATATTGTTGTTCTTGGAGATTCAAAGGCTGGTAAAACTTCATTATTAATAACATACCGTGATGGAAAATTTCCACGGGATTATATCCCGATTATGTTTGATGGAGTTGAGTTAGATAAAACATATAGAGAGAAAGAATATCATGTAGTAATAAAAGATAGTTCTGGGTTTGAAGATTATGAATGTCTTAGGAAGATTTTATATATGAATGCTAATTTCTTTGTTATCTGTTATTCTATTGATAAACCTGATTCTCTTAAAAGAGTTGAAAGTACTTGGGTTCCAGAAATACAACACCAAAACTCAAATGCTCCAATTATTCTTGTTGGAACAAAAAAGGATTTAAGAAAGAAAAAAAATAGACAAGAAACAATAGAAGAGGAAGAAGGATATGACGTGGCAAGAAGAATTAAATGTAGGTTTTATATAGAAACATCTGCATTACATAAAGAAGGGATAACCGAATTATTTAATGGTATCTTTGAAATGTTTAGAGCACAAGAGAAACCGAAAAAGAATAAAAAAGAAAAATGTATTATTTGTTAAAAATGAATAAGTATTTTAATATAATGTTATTAGGTTTCAATAACTAAATATATTTTTAACTTATTGACAGTTTGATTTAAATAAAAACGTTAAAAATTTGTAAATGTATTTTAAAAATAATATGACAATTACTCCGTTTTTGTTTATAATATTTGTGGGATTGTTTCGTTTAGTTTAATTTAGCTGAAGTGTTTCTAATAATTATTATGTAAAATTATTATGGATTTTAAATAAGATTTATTTATAAAAAATGATAAGTAAATTACTTTTTATTGATTAATAACAACAAAACAAAAAAAAAGTCATGTTGTTTTGAAAAGAGTAGTGAGAAGTTAAGATAATATTATTTTGGAGTAAATAATGATTTTTATTAAAGAAGTTTTAATTTTTTATTTGTTTTTTAATAAAAAAAACAATAAAAAAAATTAAGAAACGCCTAAAAATTAATTCAGTTTTTTCAACATAATTTTTTAATTCAACAAGAATAAATTATTTTGAATAAAAATAAGTTTTCTTAGTTGATGTTTATTTGTCTATTTAGTTGTCATCAAAAAATAATAGTTATTAATAAAAACAATTTTTTTAAATTAAAGTTTATAATAAAAAAAAATTTGTTACTACTCAAAAAACCATAATAAAACTTATAAGGAAAAAAATGAATTATATAAATAATAAGACACCTAAATAAGGAATAACAATAAAATTAAAATTTTTGTGGTTATATAACTTTTTGTTCTATTCTTTTCTATAATATATTTTGTTTTTAAAAATAGAAGAAAAGCAAAAAAGATAAGAAGGTTTAAATAACTTCCATAAATGATTAGACACAATAAAGTCACATATCTGTATTTTTATTTAGTCTACTTTTAATTTTCTTTTAAATATTTATTATAGTCTTTCAAAAAGAGTTGATTTTATGATTCTACATTTCTTCTTTTTTCAGAATATTTATGAGTTTTTATTAAATTAATGTTATTTGTAATAAAAAATCTACAAAAAATGAATTATCCTGTTATGTATCTTTTCTCAGAAGGAAGTTTTAAACATTTAAATGAAAGAAATAAATATACTCACTTTTAGAAAAGAGATTTTAGTAAGTAAATTTTTCATTGAACTTATCAAAAGAATAAGTTGAGTGAAAAATAATTCCCATATTTAATACCACTAGATGAAAACACAAGAAGAGACATTCCTAATGTGGTGTAATAGTCTAAAGAAAACTTGAACAATGAAATATGAAATGAACTTTCCATAAATACAACAAACATAATTAATTCGTTATGGAAATAACAATTCTATATTTCCATCTTTATTTATCACATCCAAATAGTTATAATGATGTTTCAATGACAAGAATCGCACATACAACTAAGTGTCATTGGATTGAAGGATCCACGTGGCATTTAATTTCAAAAATAGACAGAAAGCAGTTTGTAGTAACATAACGAAGAAACAAACAAGGTAAGAGGAGAATCTATAAATGCATTAACTATTACGTGTAAACACGAAGCAAAGAGTTAAGCTAAATAAAAGAAGAACTGAAAGCACAAAATACCATAGAGAAGAGATGATAAATAGAGTAGAATTTACCGTAGAATTACTACGACAATATCGAGGAGAATTGACACATGAGAAGGTTGTCAGATTAAACAGACTAGTCAAGGTTGTTGAATATGTCCATCAGAATCACCAAAATGAGGAAATTGTCATTCCAAGTAAAGAAGTCATTGGAGAGGTTCTTGATAATCCAAATGATGAGAACATGAAGACATTCGTTGGATGTACGTTCAGAGAACAAGTCAAGATTGATGAGACAGACATTAAGAAAGTCTATGAAGAACAAGAGAGTAGTGCAGTTGAATTATTGAAAGACATTATGGATGTTTTAATGAATGAGAATATAAAGAAATATGTAAGTAATAAGGCAATTAAAAGAATTACACAAATGGCACAGAAGATTCGTAACAATATTGTGGAGTGCATCAATGAAAATATGAGAATGGAAGAAGAGAAGAAACAAGAAAGTACAACACCAGAAATGACAAATATTCCAATCAGTGAAGGAAACAAAACAGAGGAGAAAGAAATTCCTAAAGAAACAGAAGAAGAGAGAGTAAATAGGGAGTTTGAAGAAAAGATGAAAAGTCTTGATGTTGAGTTAGACAAAATCAAAAGAAAATACACAGCGTTCAAAAAGGTTTTTGAAGAACATGGAGAAGATGTAGAGTATTTGATGAAACAAGAAAAGGCAGTGAAAGAATGTGAAAATATGATTAAAAATGGGATTGAAGTAAATGAGATGAATATGAAAGTGTTAATGGATTTAGATGGGTTTGTTGGATTAAATGAGGAAAATCGTAAGAAAAGAAAAGACTTAGTAATTCAAATTCAAGATGAATTGGATGAGATTGAAGGAATGCTCAAGAGGTTAAGAGTCACAAAGATGAAAGTAGAAAAGAGAGTAGAAGAAATTGAAAAACAAAAACAAGCAATGGAAGAAGAGAAAAAGAAAGAAGAAGAAGAGGAGAAAAGAAAAGAAGAAGAGGAAAAAAGAAAAGAAGAAGAGGAGAAAGAAAAGGCAATTAAGGAATTAAAGAAAAAGAAAGAGGAAGAAATGAAAAGAAAAAGTGGAATAGGAAAACAACAAAACCAACGATATGTTCGACCAAAGAAAACACAAAGTGAAAGAGAAGAAGAAAGTAAGGAAGAAGAAAAAGCAATAGAATTGGAGAAGAAAAGTAGTTCAGAAAGAATTAGAGAAATGATTGATTGGAGCAAAATGAAAATGAGTGTTAAATTCCAAGTTAGTGACAGAGGAAATAGTGTCATTGTTTATGGTACAATAGCAGGATTAAAAGATGAAGACATTGATGTTAATATCACGAAGAATGGATATTTGAAAGTTAGTGGAGTTAAAAAACCAAATGACAATGAAATGAATATGATTATAAGAACTATCAAACAACGAATGGGTAATATCAGTGATGAAGACCTTGCAGAGATTGTAATGAAATATTGTACTGGAAGATTTGGAACATTTAGTCAATTGTATGAAATTCCAGAAGATATTGACATTAAGAATATCACAGTTAATTATGACGAAGGTATTCTTCAAGTGAATTTACCAAGAAAGCAAGAAACAAGAAGAAGTATATATCCAAGATTTGGTATGAATGATTATAATGATGGATATAATGATCCATATGACTCATTCTGGTAAACAAATGATATTTATTAATTGTATTTGTTTTGTTAGATTTTAGTAATTGTTAAAAAACAAAAAGGGAGATTTTTATAAATTTAAATACAAGAAAAGGAATTAAATTAAATTGTTGTATATGAAAAAAGATTAAGGAGTATTGAATAAGCAAAAAAATTAGCCTTTAATAAAAATAATTGAGTTATGTCTCTTGTTTATTTATCACTTACAAAATATTAAGCGGAAGTTCTATATAACTTTTATGATAAAATCTTCTTTCTTTAGTAAAAGAATACCAAAAAAATATTCCAAAGTTATTAATTATTGAATCATTAAACATAGAAATGAATTATTACATCATATCATCTTGTTAATAAAACCAAATGGCATCACGTTATTAGTAAGTTGTAAAATTATTAGTACAAATTTATTGTTTAAAACCATTTAGTAACTCTACTTCAGAAAATATTTTCTCCTTCTTGAAATAAAACTTCCATAGAATTATAATTCATATTTTGTATTATTTTTTTTTCTTATGTATTATTAGAAAATTTGTTATTCAAGAATGAATTAAAAATTAAATGTTATAAATAACAACATTGTTTTAATTAAAAGAATAATAAACAAAAAGAAAACCTATTAAAAAACCCTGAGAAAAGAAAAAGAACTAAGAAAAGAAGTAATTGGGATTTCACAATGGGAATTACAAGAGATTCCAGACATAAAAGAAGAGCTACTGGAGGAAAGAAGAACAGTATGCAAAAAAAGAAGAAGAACACTATGGGAAGACAACCAGCTAATACCAGACTTGGAGCTATTAGAGTTCATGATGTTAGATGCAGATATGGAATTATTAAAAGAAGAGCATTAAGATTAGAAAATGGAAACTTCTCATGGGCATCTCAATCTATCACTAAAGGTACTAAGATTCTTAATGTCGTTTATAATGCCTCTGATAATGATTTTGTTAGAACTAATACATTAGTTAAAGGTGCTATTATTGAAATTGATCCAGCACCATTCAGATTATGGTTCCTTAAATTCTATGGAAAAGATATTGCATCAACTGATTATTATAAATCACTCGAATCAGCTACATTCAAAACTGAAAAGAAAGTTGTTCTTCCAAAGGAAGAAGAAAATAAAGAAAAGACTATTGCACAACAAATTGCAGAAACACAAGTAGCACTTATGAATCCAAGTAAAACTATGCAAAAGAAATATGCAAAGAAATTAGAAGTATTAAAGAATATGAAATTTGATGAAGCCTTATTAGAAGGATTCCAAAGTGGAAGAGTTCTTGCATGTATTTCTTCCAGACCAGGACAAACTGGATCAGTTGAAGGATATATCCTTGAAGGTAAAGAACTTGACTTCTATAGCAAGAAGATTTCAGACAAGAAGAAATAATTGAAATTTGGTTGTTATTTATTGTTTTATATAACATTAATACAATCTTTAAATTATGTTTTTTAATGAAATAAATAACAAAAATACAAACTGAAGTTGCACAACTGAAGATAGAAGGAAGGTACAAAAATAATAATTAATTAATCATGATCTGTTCTATTTAAAGAAATAAAAAGATTTGAAACTCAAGAAATAGAAAAAAATTGATAAACAGAAACAAAAAAAAAAGGAAAAATTTCAAAAAAGAAAAAAAAAGTATTTGAGGTGGCAGTGATGAAATTTTGAACTACTTTTTAGAAGAAAAGGGTGATTAGATGTCAGCAATGCCTATTAATCCATTTGATTGTTCTCATGAACATAACTCTTTTGTCTCATCAAATGGATGGAACGAAGAAAAAACTAAGAAAGAAAAAAAGCCAAGGAACAATCAATTATACGATATTCAAGAGATGGAAAAAATGAGTTTAGAACAATTAGAACAAAAAATCAATGAGTTAAATGAATCTGGAAAAATGAGTATTCAAGACGAAGATTTGTTAAGAAAAATTAGAAGAAAAGTACAAAACAAGTGGTCTTCGAAGGAATATCGAAAAAGAAAAAAACGGAAATTAGAACAAATGACACAAGAATTAAACTTTTTAAAAGGAAAATGTGAAATCCTTGAAAATGAAAATGAAGAATTAAGAAGAAAGTTAAAAGAATTAAAAATTGCTTTTGATTAGTCTTTTTCTAATCATAAAAAAAAACTATTTTTTAACATGTTTATTGTACTCAATTATCAATCTCTAAATGACTGTAATTAATCAATACTTGTTGGAATTTTTGAATTTATTTGTTATTTTTTTTTGTTTTTTCTATTATACTTCTCTTTTATTAACATTTTTGGTATTAATTTATGTTATTTCTAAATCGTTAGAATGATTTGATATTGATTCTTCATTAAAAATAATGAAAAGTATTTTGTGTTAAGTATTAAATCTTTAATTTTTTTTTATTAATGAAGAATTAAAAGATGACAAATCAAAACGAAAAGAAAACTCTATATAACGAATCTAAAAACTCTTAATTTCATCTCTTTAAATTATGTCTTCTGAAACAACTCCAAATAATATTTTAGTTACAAATATTGATCCTTCAGTTACTGTTGAAGCACTAACAACGTTTTTCTCATTCACTGGAAATGTTACACAAGTTAGATTATCTGATTGTCCAGATGGAACTAAACAAGCAATCGTTTCGTTTGACTCACCAGAAAGTGTTAAAACTGCAGAGCTAATGACAGGAGCTACTCTTGAAAGTCGTAGAATCAATATCGAATCAACTTCTATGACAGAATCAAGTAGTCATGACCGTGTTTTTAAAGGAGAAGATTTACCTAATCGTTCAATTCCTGAACTTCCAAAGGAACACACAAAGACGTCTGTTGCTGCTTCACTTCTTGCTCAAGGATATATATTAGCCAATGACACATTCCAAAAAGCTGTTCAATTTGATCGCGAACATAATATCACATCTTCTATCAAGTCAGGTGCAGAAAAAGTTAAACAAGCAGCAATTAGTGTTGATGAAAATTATCATATTACTGAATATCTTGCACTTGGAGCTACTCTTGCTGTCAGTTATGTTGAAAATATCAATGATAAATATAAGGTTACAAAAACAATTTCCAATAAAGCACAAGAAGTTGATGAAGCTTTAAATATTAGCGGGGCAATTGGAACTGCTCGTCAACAAATAAATAATGGAATCGCTGCTGTTGTGACATCACAACCAGTTGTTTCTGTACGAAATGCAGTAAATAATACTGTTTCAGGATTTGCACAAAATGTAAGTGATGAAATTGCAATTCAAAACAATATGCATAGAATTACCCAAGAACAAGTCAAGCCAGAAGAAACAACTCCTTTTGTGGTTGAAGAACAAGAAACAGCACCTATAACTACTACCACCGAAGAAACCATAAAACCTGAAATCCAACAAAATGAGTTAACGGTACCACCCATTGACAACTATGATATTGTTACTCTTGAAGATGATAATACCACCAAAGAACAACAAAACCAAACAAAACAAGAGGCTACTACATTAATTCTCTAATTAGTTTTTATTATTATATTTGATGTTTTGGTTATTAATTGATTCGAAGATGGCACGTCAGAGACACCACATGAAACCCTAAAATAATCCCATGCTTCGAATCTCCCAGTTATCGTCTGGTCATGACGTGCCTTTGGTGAGATAATATCTATTCAACACTAACTGTTTATTATTATTAATATTTATTAGAAGTGATTATTATAAAAGATTATTATTCATTAACGTGTATTGTTATTCATTAACGTGTATTGTTATTCATTATTAATTATAAGGATTATTATTTACTAAGGAGGTATTATGTATTAAGAATTATCAATTATTAAAGAAGACGCATATATAATTGATATTGTTGCACAAAAATTAAACATAAGGATATTATCAAGGAATAGGGTTTCTTTAAGGGGTGTCGAAGGTAAAAGGAGATGAGCTATAACAGTAAGTTATGGATATACTCTCCTTAAAACAACAATATAAAGAATGAGAAATATTATATTACTCATTAAAATCAAAATAAAAGTCAGGCAGCAACTTAATTGAGGAACCATTTAAGTCGAGCATGCTTGCAAAAACTTTATTTGAATAGAAATAAAGCGTGTTGAAGAAACTGATTCGCTCACTTCTCAACATGATGAAAAACCTAAAAAATAAGGTTAATCATAATTGATTTCTTTTTTTTTTTTTTTTTTTTTTTTTTTTTATTTTATTTGATGTTTTGGTTATTAATTTATAAACTTAATAAATAATACCATGTTTGCCACAACCATTTGAAGAAGGTATAATTTAACCTTACAATATTGTAAGTAAGAGGTATAAAGGAAGTAGGATGTATTTTGAAAAAATTATAATTTTTTTATTATATTTATACTTTACTTTAAATCAATTATTTTTATCTTTTTTTCTTTTATTAATAAAATATGAGAAGAGTGTTATCAAACAAATGACATTTTAGAAAATGATTTGAGTCAAAACGAGTAGATAAAACTACTACAGTGAAAGCATGGAAGTCAATCAATATTAAAAAGAATGCATTTCTCCAATTAACTAAAATGCAAGATGGAGCAATATTTTGTGGATATAGAAAATCAAAAATAATGAAAAATGAAAGACTGAAATACTGCCCACTTTGTAAAGACAAGATAACTACAATAGAGCACATTCTATTATCTTGTATTTATCATAAAAAATCACAAATAGAAAAACATGACAATATTGGCATAATAATATTGATTAATAAGAAAATATACATTAAATAAACAATATAAAAAACCACCATATGAAACAATATTCAAATATAAAGACATTACAATGATATTGAACAAACAAATCATGCCTAAAAGTGAATGACAATATCACAAAATACCATATATATATATATATGTAATAGATAAAAAGAACAAAACTGATCTAATATTTGATATGACTATTGTTGAATATCACAATATTAATTGAGCCTATTTGAAGAAAAGAAATAAGTATAAAGAATTAAAGAATATTCTAATGAAAATAGAAAAATTAAAAGATGTCAAAATAATTCCAGTAGTAATCTCAATAAATGGATTAATAAATAAAGAAAGTAATAAATTAATTAAAGAATTAAAAATTGACATTGACATAACTAAAGAAACTAAAAACTTTGTCATAAAAACATGATGGATGTCATTGGACAATGACATTACAACAAACTAGAAACTTGATATAATTGATTGTTGATAATAATACTCTCTCTTCTGAATCAGTGATAATATAAATATTATCGATTGATATTTAATTAACTTCCTATTTTAAATTATTCTTGGCTAAAGAATTATTTCGCTTAATAAAATAATACAGAAATTAAATCCAAATAGCTTGTTGATTTATTCTTTTTTGTTTATTTATCTCATTACCACAGTTTTTCAATTGAACTTTTATTTTTCTTCATCAATTTAATTCATTTTATTGATTCTTATTGCATCATGAACTTTATATTTTTATAGTTTATTGAAATTAATCTTACCTTGTCTATTCATTAAAATAAACTAATAAACATCTGTTATTCACTTCCAATGTGAATATTCATATTTCAATTCATTTGAACTGTCTTTCAACACCACTAATATTCAACTTTAAAAACAATGAATTGAAAAAGAGTTTCAGTATGAATAAAACAAAATAACAATTGAAATGGTAAGGATATTGTATAACTTATAACAATTCAATAACTCATTGAAACGTGTTGCAAAAGAAAGGTGAAACAAATATTAGTTGTAGAATAAAAATATGATTAAGAAAAGGGTAAGTAAAAGTTTATCATTATCGTTATGTTCTTCTTTAATTTTTATTGAATCTAAATAACTATTAAACATTCCTTCTACAAATATATAACCATTTCAATGAACATAGACTTTTAAACCATAATAACCATTTAGAATCATTTATTGATTAGATATTAAATTAATCTTTTGTTTTTATCTGAAACTATTCAAAATTTATGATTGATGTAAACATTACTTTTGTTGTAGTGAATGTCATTTTCAGAATAAGTTGGTTTGTATATCTTTTAGCAAGCAAATCAACTGTTAATCTTCAACATGTTTTGTATTTATGATACATAGAAGAATAAAAACTATTAACGGTATTATTTTAAAAAAATGAAAAAGAACAGAAAAAAAATAGAAAAAAAACATGGCAGAGATAGTAGGTGCATCAATTGTTGCTGGAATTGGGTTTGGAGTGTTTAAAGTCATTTGTGATGGAGTTGAAAAGATGACAACACCAACCGATCAAACAGACAAAGAAAGTAGTGAGAATCAAACCTATGAGGAGATTAATCAAGTAAAACAACAGGAAGAAATAACGAAAGAAAAGCAGGATGAAGAAGACAAACAAGCAGATGATACAAAGATTGAAGAAATAATAAAAACACATTATGAAAAAGCACAACAATATGTTGAAATGAATAATATTGAAGGAGCAGAAGAAGAATTTATTTTAATTGATGAAATTAACAAGAAAATAGGAGAGAAAGGTATGTTTGCAGCAGTTATTAAGAAAGAACTAGCATCAATTAGATTTCTCAAAGAAGATTATTGTACAAGTAAGAAATACCTTGAAGAAGTCATTAAGATAATGAAAGACATTATGAAAGAAGAAAGTAACCAAGAAGTTGAAATATTATATATTGAAGTTATCAATCAAATGATTGAAACAAGAATAATGAATATCAAATATGAAGAACCAAAAGAAATGAAGAATGAAGAAGAAATGAAAAGAATTGAAGAAGAAATTCAAGAAAATAAGGAAAGAATTGAGAAAATGAAAAAAGAAGAGAAATATAAAGAAATAATGAAAGAGAAAGAAGAAGAAAATATGATGGGAAAAATTCAATATTATATAATGAAAGAAGAATGGAAAGAAAGTGAAAAAGAAAGTAAAGCGTTAATTAAAAAATATAAAGAAGAAGGAAAGAAAGAAGAAGAGAAACGAATAATTGGTTGGTTAAATAACATATATGTCATTGAAAAGAATAAAGAAGGAATTAAAGAGAATTTTATAAGAATTCAAGAATTAATAGAAAATGAAAAAGAAGAAATAGAGGTAATAAGTGAAAGAGCAATAATTGAACATGAAATTAAAGAATATGAAGATAGTAATAACAGTTGTTATGAGTGTATTAATGCAATTAAAAGAAAACAAGAAAAGAAAGAAGTAGAGAATAAAAGAGACATTATAGAAATAGAAAATCAAATGTATTATACTATAATAGAAAATATAACAAGTAGTAATAAAGAAAAAGAAAGAAAAGAAGAAATAGAAGAATGTATGAATCAAATTATTAAATTAACAAAAGAAATAAAAGAAACGATGTTAATAAGTAGTCATTTTATTAAAACATTAAGTATTGAAGAAATAAATAGTATTGATCAAATATATCGAAATTTAATATGTAAAATATTAATACGAAATGTAGGGAAAAATGAATTACCAAATGAATATACACTTCAAATGAATATCAAAACGGTAAATGGAACAATGATTAAAGAGGGAGAAAAAATTAAAAATACAGGAAAGAAACAAATAACAATGATAGTAACAAATATTGAAAATATGAATAAAGATGAAGTATATTTAATTGAGATTAATATTCAAAATGAAAATAAAGAAAACATCTTTAAACATCTTCAATTTTTTTATCTTAATTGAATAAAATTGTTCATTTTTTATTTTATATTTACTTGACAATAAAATAATATTCTACGATTTATATAACAGAATGACGTGTCGAAAGAAAAGTAAGACTTATTATTCCGCCTCAACACATCTTTATTTTTAAATAAAAAGATACAGTATGTTTGGTTGTGATAGAATTAACAATATTCCATGACATCCATCATGTTTTGTATTACAATGTTTTTAGTTTCTTTAGTTATGTCAATGTCAATTTTTATTTCTTTAATTAATTTATTACTTTCTTTATTCATTAATCCATTTATTGAGATTATTACTGGAATTATTCTGACATCTTTTAATTTTTCTATTTTCATTAGAATATTCTTTAATTCCTTATACTTATTTCTTTTCTTCAAATAGGCTCAATTAATATTGTGATATTCAACAATAGTCATATCAAATAATAGATCAGTTTTGTTCTTTTTATCTATTACATATATATATGGTATTTTGTGATATTGTCATTCACTTTTAGGCATTATTTGTTTGTTAAATATCATTGTGATGTCTTTATATTTGAACACTGTTTCATATAGGATGTTTATATTGTTTATTTAATGTATATTTTCTTATTAATCAATATTATTATGCCAATATTGTCATGTTTTTCTATTTGTGATTTTTTATGATAAATACAAGATAATAGAATGTGCTCTATTGTAGTTATCTTGTCTTTACAAAGTGGGCAGTATTTCAGTCTTTCATTTTTCATTATTTTTGATTTTCTATATCCACAAAATATTGCTCCATCTTGCATTTTAGTTAATTGGAGAAATGCATTCTTTTTAATATTGATTGACTTCCATGCTTTCACTGTAGTAGTTTTATCTACTCGTTTTGACTCAAATCATTTTCTAAAATGTCATTTGTTTGATAACACTTCCATTTTTGATGTATTTGTTATTAATTTTTTTATTTCTACTACTACTTCTTTTTCTTTTTTCTTTTCTATCCCTTCATTTATTATTTCTTCTATTTTTGTTTCATTTATTTTATGTAAAATATCATTAAACATCATTAAAAATACAAATGATAAACTCAAATGAAAATGAATTGTAGTTAATTGTTTTATTTATTCATTGTTCATTGGTATGGTTATTAAATTAAAATGATTAATTCTATTTTATCTTTTGTTTTGAAATTTTCTATTTCATAATGCATGTGTTGTTTAGATTAAATAGAAATAGCATTGATAGTAATCATGAAATATTGTGTTTATTCATTTATTTCTATTTTATTTATTAATTTCAATATTCTATTTTGTATATTAAAAATAAATAAATCATAATTTCTAATAAATTATTATTTGTATTTCTTTTATTGTTTATTTTAAATCATTTCATTTGAATTATTATTGTTGTTATACTATTTCTTTTGTATTATTTCATATTTTCTTCTTTTATTGATTCATTCTTTTGTCTTTATTTTCTTATTCTATATTTTGTGTTTTATATCGTTTTTTTATATTTAAACCATTGTTAAAATAGTATGAAGATTGAAATGAAATAAATCATAACGATAATAATTTAATTATACTTATAAACATTGTTGTGATAATGAATGTATTTCTATCAGTACATGTATCACATATTTCATTCTTCTATTACTTCATTTCTTAATCATATCAACATCTTCTTCATTTTATATAACATCATTCGTTTGTTTTATTTTTTTGTACTTAATTAATTTAAACATAAAATGTATTGAAAAAAGAAAAGACAATAGAAAAAAAAAATGAAGAAAGGAAAGACAATAAATAAGATTATAGAAGAAAATAAGAAAGAAGAAAGGATGAGTGTTAATAAATGAAAAAATGAAAAGAAATAGAATAAAACAATTATAAATAACACATGGATTATACTTTCATTATATTGAGAATTGAATAATTTATTTTCTCCATCATGTTTTATTTCTTTTGTTTTAATGGTTTTCAAACATTATCAAATTAAATATTCTTCATTTAAATTTTCGTGCCCTTTCGACTTTATTGATTATTAAAACAAATAATTCCTTATACTATTGTTTTACAATGGTATATCAATAACACATTGTTTATTTCTTCTTCTTTAATATCAATACTCACTCATCAATCACTTTTCTTGATAATACAAAATTATATTTATTATATAACCTTCATTATTAAATATATTTCAACAACGTTACTTAATACTTTAATATTAACAATAAATAATAAGTAATATTTCAACGTATTAAATAACTAGTCTTATACCATATTAAATATTAATAATTAATATCATCATCATAATCAAATATTATTTGATATTTCATTATTTGATTTTGTATTAATGTTTGTGTGTTGTTTCTGATTTTCATTATTCATTTCTAATTCATTTTCATTTAATAAAATAGAAGAATAAAAATAATGAAAGAAGATAAATAAAATAAGAATAAAATAAGATAAAATCAATGATATTGTTATTATATTATTATGTTATTTTAGTTTTGATTTTATATTTATTATTTTATTTTTATCTTTTATAATCATCATTCATTTCTTCTTTTTGTCAATTCCTCTTTTCTAAACATCACTGAATTTATTCTATTTCTTTCCATTTTATTCTATTTTCTTTATTCTTGTTGTTATTTTATTTAGTTCTTCTTTTATCATTTGTCATTTCTTGTTTATTCATGTTTATTGTATATTTTATTATTCTTATTTATGTTGTGTTATTCTTATTTATCTTTCTTATTATGTTTTGACTATTATTGTTTAAATAGAAAATAAGAATAAATAAAGAATAAGAAATAATAACATAAATATGTTGATGTATTTTATCATTTCTTTATTTTATTATTCTTATTATTATTTCTATTATTTTATTCATTTGATTCATAATGAATTAATTCAATGAAATAATACAAATAAATTGTTTATTTATTTCATCTTATTTCTCTTTTATTCTTATTTCTTTTCTTATTTATTAAAAACACCATCATTGGGTGTGAATATTTCAAATGAAATAAAATAAATCAACATTGAATTATTTCCATTTTTAATTCACCATTTCATTCATTGGCAGATGAACGAAATGGCTATTCATATTCTTCATTGATTTGTTTTTATTCTTTTTTAGTTCATTTTCAATTAATCAAGATTGAATCATTTCATTTCAATTACTATGATTCGTTTTAGTGTGAAACGATATGGATGTTGTTTTCCACAAAGTGCTTTTGATATTCCTTTATAATCATAATCATATTCATTAATTAATGAATAAAGAACAATTCTATCAACATTCATCTATCTAATTTTTATTACTAAAATAAAGAAATAAATATATAATTAAAAATCTATTAATTTTTATTAACATTTACTTATCGAATAAACATTTTTCAAAGAAAGAAAAAAACAATTATAAAAAAAATTTTTTTGTTATTAACAACACCCCCCTTGAGATGCTGTTGGAGAATTAGAATTTGAAGACTGATGAACTCTTACTGGTGCTTTTGCAGGAGGTGGTTTATTAATAATTTTTGGTTGCTTAACTAAAACATCTCTGGCAAGTGTAATAAAAAGGTCAGTAACATTAGTATTATTTTTAGCTGAAGTCTCAATAAAAAGTAAACCATTTTTATCGGCGAGTTGTTTCATTTCATCAGTAGTGACAATACGATCTTCTGAATCAATTTTATTACCACAAAGAATAGCCGAATATTTAGAATCTGATTTTGTTTTTAAGTCATTAATCCAAAAACTAATTTCTATTTTCATTTAATACTTTTCAAAAATAAAAGAATATTTTTAACAAACGTTCAAATGATGTTCTTAAAGTAACATCAACAACAAAAATAACACCACAAACACCTCTATAATGTTGAGGTATTATAGTTCTAAATCTTTCTTGACCTGCAGTATCCCAAATTTGGGAGACAATATGAGTACCATCAACAATAAATTCTTTCTTTTTAAAATCTACTCCAACAGTAGAAACAAAAACAGGAGTAAATAAATTATCAACATACTGAGTAATAAGTGAAGTTTTACCAACTCCACTTTCTCCAAGAACAATAAATTTCATATCAGCATGTTTAGCAGAAGTTCCTTGATGAAAAGATTTTCTTCCATTTGGAGGAGCTACACCACTTTTTTTTTGAATATTTAATATTTCAACAGCAGCAATTTGTTGTTTCCAATCTTTTTGTAATTGTTGTTGGTCTTTTTGACTAATTCCAGAATTTCTATTTAAACGAATAATTTTTTTTGGTTCTTCAATAATTTTTTGTTCTTCTTTTTTTTCGGGTTGACTTGGAGGAATTTGTTCTGATTCAGCTTTATTTATTATATTAGTTTTTTCTTCTGGTTTTGTAAGAATTTTTGGTTTAGGTTTAGAGATTGAGGTTCTTATTTCTTGTTTAGACTCAGACAAAGATTGTTTTGAAGGATCTTCTTCTTTTGTTAGACCAACAGCAGATTTAGTCTTTTGTTTATTTTTTAATTTCTCTTCTCGTAACTTACGTTTCCATTCCGGTTCTTTCTGAGTTGTCATGAGAATCTTAAAACACTTTCTAAGTTCAAATTAAATTGTTTCATTTAAAAGATGAAATAGAAAAAGAAATTGATAAAAATACATTCCTTTTTGTTTTAAAATAGAACTAGAATTAAAAAAACTTTAAAAATAAAATTTAAAAAATGGTTTGAAACTTCCTTCTTCTTTCTTTTAATATATTCATATCACAGGGTAATGATGTTGTAAAAATGTTAGGAAAAGATAAAATAAAACAATTACAAAAGAAAGGAATTTTTGAACGAAAAGGAAAACTTGTATTACAAATGGAAGAAATTATTCCTCCTCAACGTCTTTGGAATTCAGAGAATGGAAATACTGAATTCTTATTACCACAAGGAGTCATTTATGATATGTTATGTAGTTATTGTCTTCCTTTTTTATTTTATAAACAAACAATATTATTTAACAGGGTTTGTTATAATGAATTTTTGTTTAATGAAACAAACATTAAAATTCAAAGGATTTGATTATCAAACATATTAATGTAGTTGCTGTAAAATTAGAAATTATTAGTTCTTCAATACCTCAGGCACTTGAAAATATGAAACAATCTCAAATTGAATTTCCAAAACAAATACACAACTCTGTACAAACAATTGAAGCATTAAAACAAAGAGTAAAAATTTGTCAACAAAGAGTTATATCTCTTTCTCAATTTAATAACTCATTACAAAAGTTTATTGAAATTAAAGAAGGTGTTATACAAAATGAAGAAATGAAACATATAATTGGATTTCCTATTGACTTTTCTAATGATGTTGTTGGAATACACCCGAGTTTAATGTAATATTTTTTTGTTTTAATCTTTTTTATTACTTTTGTTTTATATATTATCTTCTTATTATAATTGTAATTCATTAATAGAAAAATTCCATAGCATAATTATTATGTATTGTATTTATAGAATTGAGATATATAAGAATTGTAGATTTAATTCTACTTAATATTCTTATTCGTTTTTTGGAAAAATTATATTCAAAAAACCTTTAATCAATAATTAATTTGTTTAATAAATCAATTAAAAATAAAAACATTAATAATATTATATCAACTACTTTCATATGACTTACTTAAAATAGATAAAAAAGTCACTGAGTCTTTAAATTGGTTTATCTTTCATTAGATTTATTAATTTATGTTATTATTCTTTCGATTTTTATTTTCTCTATACTAATTATCAGTTTTATATTTTATTATTTCTAATTTCAGTTAATTTAAATCATATTGTTTAGTTCTTCAAAAAAATATATATTTCCTGTAATATTTGTTGGTGTGGATTTTATTTCTTTTTTCTTATTATAAGAAATTTGTTTTTATTAAAAAAAGAAACTATTCACATTAACCAAGTAGTTACATACTTAACTATCTCTTATTGAAAATAATTTCTAAGGTGTTAAATTAACCATTAATTGTTATATATATATATATCATATTTACTCATATCCAATTCTTTAATTGTTAAATAATTAAGAGTCTTGTTCATAAAAATTATTTAATTCTATTAATTCTGTTACTTTGTATCTTTCAATTTTCAATTTAATCATAATATTTTTATTTGTGAAAATCATTCAATTAATTTAGAACTTAACGTAAATTTCAAACCCATTGAGTCTGGAATTTTGTTTATGTTAAAATTTATTAATATTACATCTAAATTAAATTATTTCTTTTTCTTTAATACTGAGAGTTAATATATTTGATATTATTCATTATTGGTTAATTATATTTATTTAACAATTAAAATATTATTGAGCATCTTGAATATTTTTATTGTTAAATAAGAGCTTCTTATCCAACGACTCAATCTTTTTGCTTCTTTTAAAAAACTGACTGACTCACTTTATTGTATATTCAAAAATTCTTTTTTTATGAAACTTCTGTAGTTCTAAATTTATATTTTTTTAAACAAGTAGATTTTTAACTAAGAAAAAATATAAATAATTTAAGTTAAATAACCAAATAAGTTAAGTTAAACATTTAAACACCCAAACAAATGTATTATTTATTGTTGTTCTTCCATAGCATTGGTTTGTACAAATGTAAAACCTTCAAATGTATTATCTTTATTTTGTTCTTGTTCTTCAGAGGGGGGAGTATCAACAGCAGCCTCTTGAACAAATTCTTCATCAATTTGGCTCGTTTCAGTTTGACTTTTTACTGGAGGAATCCATGGTGGAGTTAATTCTTTTCTTTTTAATTTTTCAAAATCAATACTGTCAAACCAAGCCATGTGAATAACATCTTCTCCTCCAAGACGTTCTGCTGGATCTTTTTCTAATAAACCCATAATAACAGATTTTGCATCATAAGAAATATTACGAGGGAAATGAGGCTGTGACTTTAATATTTTTTGATACATTAATGATACATCATCATCATAAAATGGTGGAATACCAACAATCATTTCATAAATTAAAATTCCTAAACTCCACCAATCAACTCCTGGTCCATGACCAACACCTTTTAAAATTTCTGGAGCTAAGTAATCGGGTGTTCCACAAAATGTTTGTGTTTCTTCACCAGCAGCTAGTTGTTTACTTAATCCAAAATCAGTGATAACAATATTTCCTGTATTGTCTAGTAATATATTTTCTGGTTTTAAGTCTCGATAGATTATTCCTAATGAATGAATATGAATCAGTACAGTAGCAATTTCAGCAGCATAAAACTTTGCTCGCTCTTCTGAGAAACAATTTTCATTCTTTAAATGATAAAACAATTCTCCTCCATTAACAAAATCCATAACCATATATAATTTATCTGTTGTTTGGAATGCATAATATAATTTAACAATAAAAGGATGATGTAATTGCATTAACACATTCTTTTCTGCTTTTGTATGGTCAACTTGTTTACGTTCTTTGACTATATCTTTTCTTAATATTTTCATAGCAAATATTCTTCCATCATCTTTCTTTTTAACCATCATCACTTTACCAAATGAACCACGACCAATAACCTTTAATAATTCAAAGTCATCTTGAGTAACTTTTTTCTTACCTTCATTATATAATTCAATATATTCTTCTTTTTCCCCTTCTTTTCCTTTTACAATTTGATTATCTTCATTAGGTTTTGTATCTGTACAAGGTTCTTTCTCTTCATTTGGAGTTGGTTCTTCGATTGCTTCTTTTTCATTTGTCTCATCTTTTATCTTTTCATTCTTTCGTTTTCCTTTTTCTTTCTTTCCTTTATTATTTTTTTTCTCTGGTTTGTGATTTGAATTTCCCATATGATTTATAAGTTCTTTAAAAGAATTTTCGTTTTTTTTTTCTTTCACTTTTACTCTTTAAGTCAATCTTTTATCAAATCTAAAAATTAAGAGATTCTATTTGTGAATTTGAGAAAATTTTTTTTTATAAAACAAAAACGAAAAATGAATATTATTACAAAATAAAAGTTGGGTTTGGGAAATTCTTTATTGACACACAATTTAAATAAGGTTCATTTGCTGTTGTCGAGAAAATAAGTTTTTTATCACTGACACTAATTCCTAATGGAGAACCAACTAATCCCAAAGTTTTCATTTCAATTGACCCAAGAAAATTATTTTTCTTAAAACAAGCAATTCTATTGTTTCCGCTATCACTAACAAATAGTCTTTTATATTTGTCAATACAAGCAAATGTTGGTCTATTAACAAACCCTTTTGCTCCACCATATCTAGAAATAATAGAAGTCACTTTTTTTTGTTTTGGATTAATTGAAAAGATAGAACTTCCCCAATTATCTATTACTATCAATTGATCTTCATCAAATAAAATACAGTGTGGATAAAACGGTGTTCGTTGATTAGGAAAACTTAATGATGATATATATGTTCCATTAAGTGTGAAAATTTGAATTCTAAAGTTCATAGCATCAGCAACATAAACATTATCAAAAGAGTCAATTGCAATACACATTGGTTCATTAAATTTACCTGGTTCATTTCCGTATCCACCAAATGATCTAAAATCACCAGTTTTTTTATTAAAAATAAATACACGATGAAGTTGTTTATCACTAATATAAAATAATGAACTTTTCTTATGTTCTACAATACATGTTGGATGTTCTACTTTAAGACTAAATTCTTCAGAAAAGTTTCTATCTTTCATAATTGTAATTAACTTAATTGTATGATTATTAATATCACCAGTAATATAAAGTTCATTACTCTTTATTGTAATACATGAAAATGCTGGAGAAAAATGATTTCCAAAACTTATTGGAATTATCAAACGATTAAATTTTACTTCTTTAATATTAGAACTAAATGTTTGTAAAAATTTACCTTCAAATTTTGTGTGGAGAGTTTGATGGTCAGTGTCAATAGCACCATTTTTATTAAAACAAGTAATTGTTAATGAAGGTTTTTGTATTCCAATAAATAAAGAATTTCTATAACGAGTAGTATTAATATAGAATGTTAAAGTAATTATTTCACTATATATTTCTTGAATACATTTTATAATTTTTCTTTTTATTTCTTTTATATGTTGTAATGATTTTAAAGACATTAATAATATTGTTTGATAATATGTGTTATTCTTACATTCTTCTTTATTTGATAAATTTTCTATATTTTTATATGTTTCTGTAGCTTTACATTCTATATGTAATATTTGTTCTTTTTTCTCATTAAACATTTGACGTTGTAATTCTAACTCATCCTTTCTTTTCTTAAAAAGTGTTTCAATTGAACTGATTGTAAGAGAAATAGTCATTTATTTTTTTCATTTTTTTTTTATTTTCATTTTTATCATTTTTATTATTCTTTTAGTTTTTTAATTATTAATAATTAACTATAAATTATAAACATTTTTTAGTTTCGAATGATAAAAGATTAATGTAAAAATGTTTCTTTTTCTCCATTTTCTAAAGAGCTGAAACTATAAATTTTTATTCTTTTATTGGACGATGAGTCGGTTTTTTGTTCCATCAGACTCTCCGTCTCCAAATCAAACCTTAACTACCGAATATTTATATCCACGATCAAATTATACCCAATTACCACAACAAATAAACCAATTACCAATATTACCTAAACCTCGAAGAATAGTAAAGAAAAGAGAAAATGGTGAATTTTTAAAGTCTTCTTCTTATGTTGAATCTTCACATTGTGTTAGTCCTTCAACAAAACCTAAACCAAAAAATGAATGGCTTCAACCAGTAATCTCTAAAACCCCTCCAGAAAAAGTTTTAATACACCAAAATAGACATGCAATTTCTTCTTCAACTTCTCCAGATGAAATACAAAAACAAAATGATATTGGACTAAAATCTCAAACTCCTTTCACTCAATCTAATGACGTTCATTCAGCTCTTCCATTTCCTAAACAAACCAAACCAAATTCAACTTCTTCTTCTTCTACAATTGTTTTAGCAGCACCTCCTCCAAAATTCTTTGCATTACAAAATAGAGGAATATTAAAAAACGAACAAAATTTAATTGCTCCTGGTGTTTCTGTTAATAATCAAAAATTACAAAAACCTCAAATTACTCCTTCATTGGTTTTATCTGGTGAAACTAAACAACAAATCGCTATGTTCAGTGAAAAAAAAAGATTGCAACGTGTTGGGTCTACTTTAAATTTAGATCGTAAAAGAAAATATATTACTTGGAAAGCAAAAGAAGGAAATTCTATTATCCAAATGCCTCAACTTGTCTTTAAACAACCAATACAAAAAAAAGAAGAAATAAAACAAGAAGAAACTTATCCAAATGATTTAGAACCTTTAAAAGATACTAAAATTAATGATTTTTCTTTAAAAGTATCATCTCAATCCATTGCTGTATTAATAATGGAAACTCATTGCTAATTTCCTTCTCATTGTTTATTTACTCTATTCATTATTGTTAAAATTTATTCATTAAATATTTTTAATTTAAATTCTTTGCTTTATAAACCAATAATTATTAATTTTTATTATTTCTTTTTTATGTTTAATATTCTCTTTTTCATATGAAAGAAAAGAAAGGATATATTATAGATGTTGCTATATGTCAGGATAATAATTTAGAATTAAATTATATTCATAAAATAAATAAATACAAAGATTTACAAGAGAAAATAAGAATAGAGAATTAATATATGTAGAAATAATACCTGTTATATTATCAATAAATGGATTAATACATAAAGAATCAGCAAGAAGAGTAAAAGTACTGAAATTACAATTACACTTCCCCAAAATCCTACGAACAATAATAATAAAAAATATGAAAGACTTAATGTTTTATACAGGAAATTCTGGCAGCACATTAGAAGAAGAACAATCTAATGCGAGCATGCTAGAAATGAACTCTATTACACCAATAGATCATATTGAAGAAACTGAAATAATCACTTCTCAGTATGAAGAAAATCCAATTGAGGATATATCTAATAATTGACCTTTTTTTTTTTTTTTTTTTTTTTTGTTTAATATTCTCTTTTTCATTTAATTTCATAAATTTTTTTTAATTTAAAAAAATAACATTCATTAAATAATAGTTCATTATGTTGTATTTTATTAAATCTTTCAAAAAGGTATTTTATTTTCTTATTTATATTATTTTTACTTTTAACTCTTCATTATTTTTATTATTAAATAATTTGATATTAAGTATTATTATCTTTATTGATTTTATTTTTTATTTATACTTTTGATATTATATTTCTTCTTTCTTAATATTTTATTCATTAAATTTCTTTTTAAATTTTAATTGAATTAGATAATATTTTACAATATTATTTTACGCTGTTAATTAAATTTGATGTAAATATTACTATTTACTACTCTTCATTTAATTTTTCTAAATTATGAAATTATTCTTTATTATTATTAAATATGAAAGAGAAAAATAAAAGAGTTAACTAGAGTTAAAATACACTTTAATAAATAGATAAAAAACAATAAAAAGATGAACATAGTTGTTTACAGTTAAGCTTTTTATTTCTTTGATAATTTCCTTTTTGGCTTTTCTTCTTCAGATTTTTGAGAATTTGATTGGTCTATTTCTTGAAACTTACTTTTTAAGGTTTTATTACTAATCCTTCTTTTAGTTTTTTTACGTGTTGAATACCTTTGTCTTTTTTTGGTTTGTTCTTCTTCTGTTGAACGAACATTAGTACTTTCTTCCTCTGTTTCTTCATGTCCTGTTTTTTTCTCTACTGATTTTTTTATTTTCTTCTTTGTTGACCTTGTTCTAGTTGCAGGAAAATCAGGTTGATAAATATCAACAGATGTTCTTGAATCTCGTGGCCTGAGATAATAATTTCCTTTCAAAACACTATCACTAAATTTGGATTGTTCTTCTGTTGGTTCATGTACCTCAGACCGTTTACTTTGTTTTTTTGAAATTACTAAATCATGAGAAGATTCATTTATAGTAGAACTTTCAAGAGGAGGTTGATCTTTCATCTCTTCAGGTTCTACCTTTTCTATTCCACCAATAGAAGATGGTAAATCAAAAGAGTTATCTTCTGTTTTTTGAAAGTCAGATTGTTGTTCTTTTTTGTTTATTGTACTTTTCTTTTTTTTCTTATTTACAAGTTTTAGATCTTCAAGTTCTATATTCTCTTTGTTAATAATTTCTTTTTCTTCACTTTTTTGTTCTTTTTCTTTATCAGTTTCTTTTATTTCTTCTTTATTATAAGTATCAGTTTCTAAGTCATTACTTGTTAATGGATTAGAAGTATTATTTAAATCATTCTCTTTATTTGTTTCTGGTTTAGTGTTTGTTAACACTTCAGTAGAATGTACTTCTTTTTCTTCTTCTATTGTTGAGTCTTCATTGTTAAGGGGTTGTGTATTAATATATTTTAATGTTAATGAATTAATAAAAAGATGGGTTTGATCAGATGGCTCTGTTTTGAGTTTTTCTTTCCAAGGTTTACCAAATAATTTATTATTTTCTTTTTCCATTGATGATTTTATAAGAGAAAAAACTTTTGCCTCTTTTTTTCTGAATAACTTAAATTCAGAAGTAAATACTCTTGTGTCTATTCCTTGTAATTTGTCTAGATCAGCTTGTTCAATTATTTCTTCTTTTTCTTTACTACTTTCTATACTTTCTTCATTGGATATAGTTGAAGGTATTTCTTTAACTTTCATACTAGTTTTTTCATTAAGACTTATAGTGTGTTTTCTCTTTTCCATTGTCTCACTTTCAGTTTCTTGATAGGGCCCATCGCTTCTTTTTTGAAATTTTTTGTTTAATCTGATTTTTTCGCTTAATTGATTTTCCTCTACTTCAATACTTTTGTCTATTTTGTTTATTTCTTTTATATTCATCACTATCTTTTCTTGGGTTATTTGTGCTAGTGGCGTTGTAATAGAGTCAGATAAATCTTGTTGGTTATCCTCTTTTTCTTTAAGATTAAAAATATGAACTTTCTTTGATGAAACATTCCTTGTGACATTACCACCACGTATTAATTTTGGCTCTGCCAATGAACTATCATTTAAATTTAGTGTTTGGTTTAAGTCTTCTTGTGATGTTAATGGTACTGAAGAAGGAAGAGGAAATTCTTCATTTTCAGAAGAATTTGTTTTTAAAGACACTTTAGTTGGAGGAAGTTGAATAATAGAATTGCTTTTCATTAGCATAGGAGAGTGTGTAACTATAGGAGCAGTAGAGTCATGTAGGGGTGGAAGAATAAGAGAGTTTGGGGATCGATATTGAACATTATTAGATTTATCTATTTGAGGGTCAATAGATGATTCTGGAGAAACAACTATTTTTGCAGGTTCAATAACACCAGATGAATTTATTTGTTGACTTAATGGATGAAGGTTATATGAAGTAGTACTATTTAATGGATATGAAGAATAAATAGGAGATTGTGAAGGTATTGATTGAGATGAGGTAATATGAGTGAGGTTAAAAATATGACTATGATTAATAGGAGAAGTTTCTGGTTTTGTAGAACTTTTTGAAGTAGGTAGTTTAGTTAAAGTACCTTCAAGATTTAAAGAAATATTTTCTTCTTGAGTTGGTGGAAATGATTCAGACTTAGAAATTTGATTTTCTTTTGTTAAAATTACTTGTTGTTCAAAAGTGATTGTAGGTTTAGTTTGTAATGACAATGGTACGACTTTATAAGGTTTTGAAGTGTCTTTAGTTTTATATTGTTTTTTTCTTTTAGGTAACTCATTTTTTCTTTTAGGTAACTTTGGTGGTTCTATCATAGCAGTTGGTTTAAGACTTTTTGACATTATAATAGCTTCATCATCTTTATGAGTTAAAGTCTGTTTTCTTGTTGTTCCTAAATGTTTATTCGTTTGAACAGGACTAACTGAAATAGGAAGGTTTGAATTTACTACATGACTTTGTTGTATTTCAGGAATAGACAATGTTTGAAGTTCTTTAGTTTGTGTGTAATCAAAAGAATCATAAGTTGGTTGATAGTCAGATTGATCATAATTAACAGAACGTGGTTGAAAGAATGAAGTTTGATGATTAAAAGGATGATAATTATCATATGAATGATATAAAGTAGTTGTTTCAGGATCAGAAAATGGGTTTTGAGGAATTTTTTTAATTATGTAGGAAGAATTTACATTTGAGAATGATGACATACCATAATTATTTAATTTATCTTCAGAAAGTGGTTCTTTTCTTTGATTTGACATAAAATTTAGTTTTTAAGATTTTTTCTTTTTTTTATTTTAAAGTTAATGAAACCAATACCATTTACTCTCAATTCTAATTTATACAACACTTCTGATTATGTTTTGATGAAGATAAAAGTGTTTTATTATCTTTTTTATTTAAATTCATTTCTATTTCATATCTTCGTAGTTGTTCCATAAATCCACTGTTTGGTTCAATTTTTGGATTTTTATTTCTAATGAATGTTAATGTTTTATCAAGTGATAATTGTTTCTTCTTCATAAAATATGAAATTGCAATAGTTCCACTTCTACTTCTTCCAGCAACACAATGTATTAAAATAGAACCTTTATTTTTATTAGATTCAATAAAGTTATAACATTCATTAAAATGTATATATAAATTTGTTGTTGGTAAATCAGGAACTTTAATAACTTTATAATTAAATAAAGAAGGATAAGATGGTAATATTTCAGCAACTGTAATAATACTTTTAATATTGAATTTATCAAGAATAGATTTATTTTGTGAATGATGTTTATTACCAACATAAATTCCATCTTCTATTTCAATAAGTCTTTCAGGTTTAAAATAAGGAATGTATAATATGTTTGAAAGTGATTCAACTGTTGATAAAGTTATTAAATTTCCTGTAATAAATAATTCTTTTAAATGATTAATATATTGAAGTGGAATTGATGATATTTGGTTGTAGTTTAAATTAAGACTGGTTAATGTGGTAGGAAGGTTTTTTGGAAATAAAGAAATCAAATTACAACTGACATCTAAACAAATTAAATTCATCTTTTCAATACATTGAGGAAGAAAATATAATTCACAACAAGAAATTGTTAGTGAAGAAAGATATTCAAATTGATAAAAATTATATTGTTCACAGTGAAGAGAATTCATTATTATTAATTTTGTAAGGTGTTGTTGTTTGGTAATTAAATTAGTTGTTGAACAAGAAAGTTCAATAAGATTTGGAGATGAAATAGTTAACATATTAATATTATTACATAATAGCTTTCTTAAACTATTATTTTCATATTCAAATGAATTAATGTTATTTTGAGAAATATTAATCGTTTCTAAAGAAGAAGGTAGTTTAATACTGTTAATGTAATTTGAATTTATGTCAAGTGTTTGTAAAGATGATAAGAATGAAAGATTAATATCACCTTCTATTTGATTATTAGAAAGATCTAATTTAATTAAGTTAAGAGAATGTAAATACTTTGGTAATATCTTCAAATGTTGAAAACTTAAATCTAAAAATGTAATATCTTTAAGTTGTAAATCATTTTCATTATTGTTATGATGATTTTTTAAAATAGTTATTGATTCTAATTCTTTTGAAGTATGTTTTGGAGATTCTCTAACAGGTTGAGTTTGTCAAGATAATTGAATAAGAGTTTTCTAGTACTTTAAAAGAAACTTTTAAAACAACAAAAAAAAACAAACTTGTTAATTATAAGTTTTGTTTGGTTCATTCCATTTTAACAGTTCTTCTTTTTCAATTTCTTTTTATGATAATTATTCTTCTTAAAAATAATAATTTGAATGATAAAAAGTAATTTGAATATAATAAGTCATTGTTTCATTTAAAATAGATATAATAAAAATGGTTTTTTTTATTCATAAGTTATAACTACCATTATCTTATCTTCCACTTCATTTTGTTTATTCATAACATAGTAAATTATCAATAACGTTTTAATCTTTCATTTATAAAAGAAAGTCTTTCATTAAATAAAAAAGAGAAATTAATGTTTGAACCTCATTAATAAGAAGATAGTTGCAAGTAAATAACCACTTCTTATTGGTATTATTTGGCTCATTCCAAGGAAGATGAGTGTTGATTCAATTACAGCATATCCATTTGAACAAAAATAAATGTAAAGTAAAGAGAATATATTCTTTTCTTAACACCCCCATTCCTGAATTATTCTTTTAAGATTCTTGTAATTATAAAATACAATATTTATCATTGGTTGAGTTGGTATTCTTTGCTTTTATTTTCTTCTTCCTTCTTTTGTTAAATTTAATTGATTTTGATTGTTTAATCTTTCTACTTTGTAGAACGAGGAGTTGATTCTTCTTTGAAAAATTTCCATTGTCAGACAATTATTTTCATGTCAATGCTTCTCTGCTATTGTTTTATCTTCTTAGTCTACATCATTTTTATTTGAACCTTCATCTTTCTTCCAATACTTTCTTTGGTTCTTATCTTCTTCAACTTGTTCTGAATTTGTACTTTATTTATATTCTTTAATGAACAAGTATTTTGTCTGAAATGCACCAAAAACATATTAATAACATCATTCAAAAAGAGTCTATTATGAGATTAATGATTATGTGTTAATATTGTTCATTCTATTCTTCTATTTAATAGTACATCTTTCATAAAATAATTAGAATAAGAATGAAAGTATTGACTACATTAAAGTAAAGGATATTGAGACTGTATGATTTAAGAAACTTTAGTTATGTTGAATGAAATACTTTCCATCCTTTTTAATTTAAATGACTTAGATATTATTCGAGTTTGTACGACTATAATAGTTTTGTTTGATTAAGAAAATGTTGACAAGACTGTTTATTCTATTAACACAAACATTACATGTTTCTACTTCATAAAATATTGAAGTTATTTGTTTATCTCTATTCTATCTCTAGATTTGTTTTTACAGAATTTGTTTGAAAAACAGCAGATTAGACATGAACAACAATTATTTTAATTCATAATTATCTTATTTTGTCTAATTCAGTTATTGTCTTTTCAGGATTTAATTATTCTTGTTCGACCAATAATTAAATGAATGCAACAATTTCATTTAAGATAACATAATGAATTGTATAATTCGTTCATTTCTTTATTCTTAACAACTCATTTGTTGATTTATTTTAAACAGATTATAGCTATCAGTTGTTTTTTTTATGACTCTATTTCATCTTGATAGAAGTGTATTTTATTAATTTATTGAACCAATTTACTTCACATATAATTTATCATATTCTGTTTAATAATAACAACACAAAAAAATTATTAAAATTATAGGGAGAATAAATCCAGTCATAAATTATGTTATTAGAGTTTCATTTTTGTTGGTTTTAGTTTAGAATTATTAATTCACGAAATAAAAACTGTTAAATCATCAACTCTTTTATTTCTTCTATAACCAATATTATTATTTCATTTAAATAAATGTGTTATTATTTAGAGAAATGCTATGTTATTATGTCTTCAAGACTGAATACATAACTTAGAAAACAATTAAATGAATCTTTAACTTAATATATGTGTCATTTTACATTTATTCAAGTTGTAGAAATAGTAATAAACATCCAAGAGAGTTAATAAAGAACAAAATCAATTGGTTAATCAATAAAACATTATCTCAATTATGTTTAGAGGTTAATTCTATTTTAGATACAAGTTACATCAAAGACTCAATTTTTGTTTCATTTAAAATCAATCAAATAATTTTTCAACTCAATCATTCAATTAGTAAAAATCATTGTGCTTCACCATCCTTGTGTTGTTGTGACTTTAATGCCTTTCGCTTTGCTTGTCTCTTTGAGAGATTCTTCCCTTTCTTTCTAACATCTGGAAGAATTGCTTGTTTCCCAACAAAGATCTTTCTTTTATATTCATAAGGTACTTCACTAACTCCTTGTGCTCCTTGAAGATCTAAGTTTGTTAGATACAATGATTTATAGTTATAAAAAGAAATTGAAATGAAATGAAAAACAAACCAGTGTTGACAATAGTTGGATTTTCTAATCCAAATGTATGTGCAATGTCAATGAGATTTAACTTCGATAACTGAAAGATATTTCCTAATTTCAATGTGTTATAATTTTGAATAAATCTACGATATGCATCCCGTGCTTCTAAATGTACATAATATTGTTTACTTACATTTTTTTTCAATTTTTCTTCAATACTTATTAATTCATTCATTTCAAATCCATATTGACGAATTTTTCTTTTTTCTTGTAATTTTTCTACAAACTCTTTAGATGATTCAGGAATCATTAATAACATTTCTTTTGCTCCTTTACATTCAACTTTATCAACATCTTTAGGTATATCTACAAAAATACCCATATCAACTCTATCAATTACTCTTTCTTGTGTAGTAAAAACTACACATGACTCACTCTTATTAATTCTTTCAATTGTTTCTTTTTGTTCTGGAATTGACATCTTTGTATGTAATACAATTCCTTCACATACATCTAATCGACTCATAATATCTTGATAAAAAATAGCTTCTTCATTTGAAAAGAATTTCATAACAATTTTCTTATTTCTAGGATTTTTAGCTATTGTACCAATTATATCATTCTTTCTTTTTAACGGATATAACACATATCCAACTTCTTGTTCTTGTTTTTTTTCTTCTTCAAATTTATATCTAATTCCTTTTTTAATACTGCTTTTAATAATATCTTCATCTATTTTTTCACTTGACTCTAATAAAACTTGACATTCTGGAAGTCTATTAAATACTTTAATATAATCTTTCCCAATTCCCATACTTTCATTTCTGTTCATTGACGTACATCCTACAAATTCTAAGTTTGGACATTTAAACTCTTCATTATTAACTATTTGATATAATATTGATCCTAACGTAGTTACAATAATTTCATCTTTTCTCATTACTCCTTTCTTTTCTTTGCTCTTGTTCTTAGCTCCTGTCCAACAACTAACATTAACATCTACAAAATTTTTAATTATCTCCCTTGTACTAATCACTTCATTAGAATCTCCACAAATAATAATAATAAATGGTCCTCCACGCTCTGGATCTTCAAGATCTTCTTCCTTAATATCTGCAAATGATTTAGATAAATAAATACTTCGTGCAATAACTGCTGAACTAATTCCTTTATGTGCTGGACATTCTACTATAATACTTTTTCCTTCATTTAGTTCTGGAAGAATTTCTTGTTGGACTTGGTTAAGCTGAGTAATACCCATTCCTTCTAATTCTTTCCCAATGACTCTTTTCATTTTTTCTTCAAGATCATACATTTCGTTGTTTATCTTAATATTTCGTTCTTCAATTAAGTCAGTACATTCTATAGCTTCTTTATCCCCACATTTATGAAGTCGTTGTGCCTTGTCTTTGTCAGACATAACCCTATGTTTTTTCTTTTTCAGTTTTTCCTTTTCTTCTTTTCTGTCTTATAAAACGCATTTCATCTTCATAACTGGATCTATAAAAACACTATACTTATGGGTGATATGTCTGAAGATGATTCTTCAATACTAATTAAAGATGAGCCAATGAATAAAGAAGAAAATACTGTAGACACAATATTAGGAACAAAAGCACTTATTACCACTGTTTCAACAATTTCTTTTGTGATATATGTTATTGCCTTTATTATATTATTAATGATTGATTCATGGGTAACAATGTTATTAATGAAAATTATGGAGCACATTTCAATGAAATATATTATTATTAATATTCCACTGATTATTTTATCAATACTTATATTTATTGAAGTAGGATTTACAAAAGGAACAATTGGAAGAATAATGGCAATAATTAAGTCTTCAATTATAATTGGAATAATACCTATAATTTCATTAAGATTAGATACTATACTAAAAGGGGATGTAATTTATTATTTTATTCCAATATTTGTAGTAGAAGGAATAAATATTATAATAAGAATTAATACATTTTATTTCAATTATAAAGATATTCAAAAACATAAAGAAGTTTTTGGGTATAGTTGGCAATTAGGAATAACAATACTTTCAGATATAAGTAGAATTGGTGGAGAAATATTGATTATTTTAGGATTAACAGAAAATTCACAATTGTATGAGAATTATTTATGGTGTGGAATAATGTTTATAGGGTCATTAATATTATACTTTATTGGATTTATATTTCTGAAAGAAACAAAGACATATACTGGAATATTAAAGAATATAATGAGAGTATTATTTATTATTTATGGAATAACACAAATAATATTAATAGTATTAAATACAGGAAAATATCATATTTGTAGTATACTTGTAGCATCAATTCCAACATTAGTTTATTTATCATTTATACATCTTTGTTTTATTGTTTTTCCAATTCTTTATTTGTGTATATTCAAAAAGATTGTAAAGTCACATCTTGATGATAATACTACAACTTCATTCTTACATGAAAATTAATTTTATATTTTTTTCTTTATTTAATTTTACTTTTAATCAAAACAAAAACAACAAATAATTCTTTCAATAAAGAAGAAAATAACAATTCTTTTTAAGCACCAGGATTTTGTCTATTTTTTGGATTAAATCCACTAGACAATTCATTCATTGATGCTGTGGGATGAAGTGCTGCACTTTTCATACTTGGAAGATTTCTATTTTCTGGGTGTACCCATGGGTGTTCCATAAGTTGTGCTGCTGTAGCTCGTTCTTGTGGATCAACAACAAGACACTTATTAATAAAGTCTTTTGCTT